CCCCGCAGCCCGCTTCCCTCGGGGCTCGGCCCTGGGGCCGCTTTGCAGCCTCCCGCGCTCAGGGCATCGCGATGGATCCTTTCCCGCCCTGACCCCGCCGCTCCCGGAGCCGAGCGGGGGGTGTCACCCGCGACGGCCGGGGCGGGGCCTGCCTCACCTGTGCCGAGCCCCACGGGGGTGCGAGTGCCCCGTCCCTGGGCCGGGCGCCAGGGACAGGGGGCGCGGCCTGTGTGGGGCGCAAGCTTTCAATGCGGGGAAATAAAATAAAATAGATGTCTCTGCCGGCCGGACTCATTTTGCGTAGACTCACCTGCTGTAATTATCCCGGGAGTCTCCCCGAAGGGATGGCTTTTCCCACGAGCGTCAATGACACCTTGACGCTCGCCCGGCCCTCCTTCAGAGACCGGCGTTTCGCATGGGGGCTTATCAAGGTTTAAAAGCAGACCTCTGGTCCCTCTCCAGACTTTGCTCGGAGGGAGTATTTCCCAACCTTGTGATGTCATTCAGCTGTGTCTGTCTGCTTTGAGGTTAAAATACGGTATTGTTTTTTTGAGAGTTGTTTTTAATTGTTTTCTTCATTTTAAATAAAATATATTCTCTCTCGATGAAGCATCAAGCGACAGCACTGTTTTTTACCGTTATGTTTTCAGCGCTCGTGTTGAAGTCAAAGTAGGGTAGCGAATGTATTATATAATGTGTTCTCCTGACCTCATACTTATTAGACTGATTAAAAATGAATTTTTGATTCTGGAGTTGGGAGGACTAGTTGATCTTGTTTTTTGTTTTCCCCCCTCCCCCAAGTACGACTGGGTGGAATTAGCCTATGTTCATGTTCAGTTCTTTCAACCAGGTAAGGATTCATATAAATGGCCATGGATATTATATCCGGTGCTTCCTTTTACAAGGTTTGCTGAAATATGTGCACATTTTATACAATAAGTTTTGACTCGGCACCCTTAAAGGTGACAGACTAAGCAGAAACCTTTAGCATAGTTTGTAAATTTTGGTCTTCGATTATGATGAAAAAATAAAGTAAAAAAAGTTTTGTTTTTTTCCTGCTTAATTCTTAGCTGAAGATTTTGGTTTTTGCCTTCTCCAGTTACCGCAGTCTTGCAGAATTGATGTTGCAAGGTTGAAAGTAAGTGGGGGGGGGAGACGAATTTTCAGCCACTGTTTAGACATTTTTGAATATATATTGAAGTCCAATGCTGCATTACTGCTTAGTAGAAAGGAGATGACCTCAGATCATGCACCCTGTCCCTTAACTTAATTTATAAGTTCTTGCAGTGTAGCTCTCAAGATAATACAGCATGTCCAAAGTGGTCCTCCAGAAAAACAAGGAGAGGCTAAACTTGACTTGTAGTATTTCTAAGGTGAAAATCAGAGAAGAGAATCCCCTTGCCTTTTCTTTATCCATTGTAAAGAAGCAAAAATGTAAAGCCTATTAAAAGAAACAAAACCAAACAACCAACCAAACAAAACCTTTTCAGTCTTCTAAAGATGTCTTAATTCAATATATTCCCCACCTCCTAGAAATGAGAAGTGCAAGCCATCTGGTGAATGGATCAACAAGCTATTTTATTTCACTATACAGTAGACTCTTAACTTTATCTCCTAGTGTAACACTAATAGCAGGACATAGCAAGTTACTATAGAGATCGCTCAGGTGCCAGTAGCATTAGTTCAGGCTGTGGCAAGAATGCTGCTATTGCACAAAATGGTGCTAGTCTTTACCCAAGTGCTCTCTTCTAGCCCAATACCAAGAAGTCCTGTGCTTAAAATCTGGCAAATGAATGAAGTTTAACATAAAATTCTGCTTTCCTTTCAGGACCCTGGGAAATATCTTGTTTGGCAATATATGCTAGGTTCAACAGTTGCTATTTAAATACTGGAGGGCAGGGAGCAGATTCAGGCTGACCTGGACAGATTGGATCAATGGGCAGAGAGAAATAGGATGCAATTTAATAAATATAAATGTAAGGTACTTCACCTGGGAAGGAGGAACCCCCAGCACATGTTTAGGTTGGGGAGTGTCCTTCTCAGCAGCTCAGAGGCAGAGAGGGATCTTGGAGTCATAATTGAGTCCAGGATGAACACGAGCTGGCAGTGTAACGAGGCCATCGACAAAGCCAATCGCACCTTGTCGTGCATTAGCAGGTGCATGACTAATAGAACAAAAGAGATGATGCTCCCCCTCTATGCGGCACTGGTCAGGCCGCAGTTGGAGTACTGTGTCCAGTTTTGGGCGCCGTACTTTAAGAGGGACGCGGGGAATCTCGAGAGGGTCCAAAGGAGGGCCATTCGCATGATTAGTGGCCGTTGTGATAGACCCTACGGGGGGAGGTTGAGAGAGCTGAATCTCTTCAGCCTTCACAAGAGACGGCTGAGGGGAGATCTTGTGGCCGCCTATAAATTTATTAGGGAGGTCAACAGGGAATAGGTGCCGCGCTGTTTACTAAGGTGCCCCAGGGAGTGACTAGGAATAACGGGTGTAAACTAGTTGAGAGTGGATTTAGGTTAGATATTAGGAAGAAATTTTTCACAGTAAGGGTGGCCAGGATCTGGACTGGGCTTCCAAGAGAGGTGGTGCTATCACCTAGCTTGGAGGTCTTCAAGAGGAGGCTAGATAGTCACCTGGCTGGAGTCATCTGACCTTGGTCCTCTTTCCTGCCAGGGGCAGGGGGTCAGACACGATGATCCATTGTGGTCCCTTCTGACTACAATCTATGAATCTATAAATAAGTCTTTATATTAACTATCCAGAAAAAATAACATCAGATCCAGTTTAATAAGCACAGAATATACCCATTTGTATATTTTCTGCCAAAGCCTTTTTATGATATGGTACATGATTATATATAAAACTTTTGCTGTCGGACTGGGAGCTCTGAAAGAGGAGGAGAGAGAGCAGGTTAATACTGTCTTTATTTACAGGAAGATTTTGGAAAATGGCCTCTCCATTCACTGGGCCAACAGCAGTTGCTGATGTAATTAAAGATCTAGACACTCAGATAGCTGTAAGTAAATTGCTTGGGCTTGCCATGACTTGGCATGCAGGAGTTGATGTGAGGACCTGCAGATCTGTATTAGGCTTACTTTCTGACAAACTTGGTCACATGCAGAGGATGAAATCAGAGAAATTTCTTTGTACTGAGACCCACTTTAGGGTGTAAGATTTTTAAAGCATTTCAGAAAACATCATTTTACTCTCTCTCTGTTATGTCAGAATTTCTCCTCCACAGATGTGTCAGTTAAGGCTAGCTGGTGGCTGAACCTGTATTAGAACCCTGGTTCTTGCCTTTCTGCTGGTCCTTGCCTTAAGCTCTGGATAAGTGTCTTACTTCAGAAATGACAGATAAGAGTTCCTAGAGTGCTGTGTGAGTTTGGAGAATACCCCAAGGCATGACTGTGGGGATTCTGCATCATTTTTAAAGGCTGCTAAAATGAAACTAGAAATTGTTGTCAGAGCTATGTGAAATGACTTGCACTTATGTTGACTTACAAAGACAACGTGGTTTGTAATGTTTGCAGCAATGCATGACTCAGTGTTGGAATGAAGCACTAAAATATCCATTTTCTAAGCATTTTTGTGTGAATTTTTTATGTTTTTCTGTATGGGTTAATACAAACTAACAAGAGAATTTGCTTGTACAGATAAAAAACTGACTTTGTAAGTTAGGTGTAAAATGTGATTTCTGTTAATTCATATGAGCTTTCTGTTTTTCCTCTAAGTTATTATTTTTCAGCTTTTATTAGGTGTTGGTTTGAAAAGAGACTTTTTCCAAACAATATTCTTTTGCAGAAGATCTAAAAGACAAATTCAGTGTAACATAAGTAGTTTGGGGGTTTCAAATGATGGAACATAAACTACTTAAAAATGACATAACTGATATACAGAAAATATTTTATTAATCAGTTCCATAGGCTGATACAGGAAACATCTGTGTGAATGGATGTACACTTAGACTTTCAGAGTTAATACAGCTACTTCTAAAGTCTCCAATTTCTCCTCTTAAATCACTTTACAGTATAATACCTATGCTTTCAAATAGTGTGAATATACTTTTAAATGAATTTTCTAAATAACTACTCAAAATATCAGCTCTTACTGAGGATTGGTAGAGACTGAGATGATGGGTAGAGATAATAGAATAGCGAATGACTTGTAAGAGGCTTCAGATGCTCTTGCTCTACATCAGACTCCATAGTAAATATTTGTAGTGTGTTAAAAAGAATTACTGCAGCGTTTCCTTAATGTTGTTGGTGAGAACTGAAGAACGCAAGTTTGTGTAGAGCCTCCTTGTGTCCAGAAAGAAGCCAAACTGACTCTGTAGTGATATGCACTATGTTAGGAAGAGTAGGTAGCTCAAAAGATTTACAACCTATTTATTCATCTAGTTGGCCGGTTCAAATCCAATCCAAAATTATTTTATGTCTAATGGGCTATAATGTAAATTAGTCCAAAAACCTTATGGCTAAACTGGCAGGACCAGGCTTATTAAATAAGCTTATGAGAGTATTAATTTCTGGCATATTGTTAGTGACCCACTAAACTTCATGTTCTGGAGCTGAAAGACTTAATATGGTATAAGAAATGTGCTAAATCAAAGGAACTTGGGGCAATGGTGTCCTGTCAGCTTCAGAGATCTGACTTGAAGATTACTAGGTTCACAGGTTAAATTGAATTCTACGCTATCAGGCCAGATGTATCATGTTGTCATTGCAAACTGTTGCACTAGTGGACATAGCAGTTTGGGCAGAAGGGTGATTTAGGCTTCAGGTGGTCCAGAGTGCTACATGCCAGAGCCATGCTTTCATCCTGGGTGCCTAGTGCTAGTGCTTCTGCATGAGGAACTTTACCTTAGTCTGCTCTGCTCAATTACAGAGCTGCCTTAGATGTAAAGTCAGAGATTTCTGTTAATAGTATTGTGATAGCATCTCAGAACTCTATTGTTAACCAGGTCCACAGTGCTGGGCACTGTACAGACCCTGCCCAGAAAAGCTTATGATCTTGCTACACTACTTTGTTTTGTTAAATCATCCCAGTTGTATACCTCAAGAGATGTTCTTTGATCTGTTCCTCTAAACTAGGGGTTCCCTAAATGTTACCTTTTCATGCAGCTGAGTAGTAGGTGGGGTCTTTTTGAAACAGTTCCCAGGATGTGGTCCATGAGCCCTTTTTGATGTGGTCTGCCACCCAGGACTTTGGAAATGGCCCTTCAGAGGCAAAAATTTGGGAACCCCTGATCTAAAATGTTAACAGTAAAAGTCTGGAGACCTTAAAACTGTTTGAGGGGTGGGAAAGGTGCAGACATAAGAATGAGTGACGATCTGTATCCAGGATCTGTAGGACACAGCCATGGAGTGAATTAGTTGTGGGACTGGAAAAGGGAATGTGAAGATTTGGGGATATGCTCAGGCTGGGCAGTCCATCTTCAGGCATGTCACTGGTTCTTCTCTTGGTGTGCTTTGCATCCACCATGCTGTCTGTTAAAGTTTCACATTTCAAAATACAAAGAAGTCTCTTTCTCTTCCCACTGACTTCCCTCCCTCTCAAAATGTTTTTAAAGGCACCTAGGGATAAGATACTGGCCCCTGCCTTTGGTTTATGGTTATAGTGCAGACTTTTGAAGGGATTGGTTAGAGAAGGAAATCCCATCTCTGAATTCACATTTAACCTACCATTAAGCTTGTGGTTTGTTTGTTTCTTTAGCTGATCGGTTTGGGTCCTCACAACCCCAAAAAGAAACAGGATCTTGATAAGCTGTATGATTTAAAAACTAAAGCCCAGCAGATTATGAACCAGTTTGGCCCATCTACCTTGATCAACTTATCCAACTTCTCCTCGATAAAGCCAGAACCTGCTAGCACTCCACCGCAGAGCTCCATGGCAAACAGTACTGCTGTGGCCAAGATGCCTGGGACCCCTAGTGGAGGGGGACGCCTGAGTCCAGAAAGCAACCAGGTAATTTAATTTGAGGTTTGGGGAGGGGAAAAGGGTCATCTGTACAGGCTTTTCTGTAGCTTAATCTCTGTCTCTTCTTAAACAACTGGCAAATATTTTGTATGAAATCAGTTACTGTTACAGTTCATTTGATCTGTACAGATCCATTTCTTGCCTCCAAAGGACTTACCATCTGAATTGGTCTTTGTAAAGGAGATGGATATGGGGCAAAAATCAAAATGTGCCTTTATATGAAAAACAAAACATTTAAATACAAAGTTTTCCCATTGCTGCAAGCTGTTGTTTGACAAGTGCAGGGTCTTGTGCTAGATTCCACTTATCTGAGTTGTCAGATCAATAGGTGTCAAACCAATTTAAACAGACCTTTTGTATGTTGAAGTGACAGATGGCTGGCTCCAGCATACTCTGTGTAATGGTAATCCTTGCCTGCTTTGGACAATGCAGATAAGAATACTAGTCAAGGAACTGACATTTTCCACATGTAGACAACATTTACTTTCACTTTAGTATTTCAAATACTGCTGTTTTCAAAATGGTCTGTTATTGAAAATGTAACAGACTGCATTCTTTCCTGCTGTCACTTCATCCCTTTCAAATGTATGCCTATTCTACCTCTCCCAGTTCCATGCCTGTTGTAGCCATGCTGGGTACAGAGTGGAATGAATTACAGAGAGGGAGAAGTTGAGATTGAAAAAAGGCCTTTCACCTCTGAAAGGGGATGGCTTAATAGTCTAATCATCATGAATTCTTTGGCCTTGGAATCACAGGTTCCAATCCCAGTAGCTTCACTTTAGGCGTTCAGTGTTCTAAAGTAAAGAATTTTACTTTCTCCATAATTTGTGTGGGGATTTTCCTTGAACTGAATGAAGCCCCGGTAAATAAAAGATATCAGATTCACCCAATCTAGGGTGTCTTTAGACCAACATGGCTACAACCTACACCCCTGACGCCCCTATGTGTTTTTTAGACAGTAGGTCCCTTGGCACTTCACAGAAGAACTAACTGTACCAGCTTTATCTTTGTAAAATGTTTTTGGGGCAGGGATAGCATCTTTCCCATGTGTCCTTTAGCACCAAGTAAACTGCCAGTAGTCTGTAAATAATAAAATCCTCAGTACTGATTGTGCACTTGTGCTGTACTTAATGTAGCTCTTTGCCTCATCAGTGACTGCAGTTCAGTGGTAGCAAATGAATCTCTTTTGAAGGAGATTTGTGTTATAGTCACTTTGGCAACATCAAGCATCTTTTTGCCCAAATATAAAATTTGCAGTAACTCAAATGCTTTTGGTGCTTGCAATCCACCCTTGAAGAGTTCCTATTGTACAGATGTTCTCTTCGGCACCCCTATTGCTTTAATGCACAGTATTTTATCATGAGAGACATTAACAAATATGTTCTCACTTGAAAGGGCAGCCTTACTTATTCTGTTCTGTTGGGCACTGCTTTGTGTGTGTAGCTGCCAAAGATGTTTGCTCATTATTACATAATATTTTTATCTGTGTAGTTCCTGGGGAGAGCTGCAGTGCCAAATAATGTATAAAACTAGGGTCTTTGAGCTGCTGTTTTGTGTCCATTGCAACCAGTTTGCTAATGTATGGTGACAGAGTGTCCCCTCTTTCCTTCAGGTTTTAACCAAAAAGAAATTGCAGGATCTGGTTCGAGAAGTGGATCCAAATGAGCAGCTGGATGAGGATGTGGAGGAGGTAGGTCCTGGTTCATGTATCAGTAATAGGTGAGTTGCCTAGATAGTTAACCCAGAGCATTCATATACACCAGTAATCCCCAGCCCAGTCCAGGGAAGGTTGCTTCACATTATTGTGCTGTTATGACTTGATTGGTATCAAATGTGGCACTGGGCTTGCATTTAATGCTATAGGTAAGACACGGGGGGCATGTCTACATGAGATGCTATTGCTTAGTAGCAATGAGTGACACTACTGTGCAGTAGCTCATTGCTACTGCACAGTAGGGTTGGAAAAAAACTGTGGCGATGGTACTGCACAGTAATGCTGGTTACTGGTCACTTAGTACTTACTTAATGTAGGTACTAAATAACTGCAGTAACTGCACAGTCCACCACTCGCATAGATGTGGCCAGTGGTATCATATTGATTTGAAGTAGTAGCTTCTGGGGGTTTTTCTTGGTACTGGTCATTGTTTGATTGTAACATTCAGCCAAAAATACCCAATATTAATGGGGTTGGGGGATCCTTCTCTCCACTCAATGACAGATGCTGTTGCAAATTGCTGATGACTTCATTGAGAGCGTGGTGACAGCCGCCTGCCAGCTTGCCCGACATCGCAAATCGAACACTCTGGAAGTGAAAGATGTCCAGTTGCATCTTGGTAAGAGACCAGTGCCTTGTAACAAAAGGAGACAGTCCTCCATTCTGTCTCAATGGGCACATCTACACATGCATATTAATACAGAGCAATAAACTCGGGCACATCACACGAGAGTTTATTGCTCCTGAGCACCGCCTCTTCACGTGCATCTGGGACCACAACATGTTGAGCTGGGTCGGAGCAGCCCAGGCTGGCAGGGAGCCCGGGGGGTCAGCTTGTCAACCTGGGACTGCTCCAACTCTGGCTCAGTGTGCTGTGGAGGGGCTGGCTGGAGCATAAGAGTGTCCCAGTGCAGGGCTGATGTTGACATGTACACGTGCAGTGCTGTGGAGTTAATTAATTTCCTGTGGCCTAATAGGGCTGCATGTGTAGATGCCAAGACATTTACTGCGGAGCTAATTAGGCAGCTCTGCAGTAAATGTCTTATGTAGATGTGCCCCGCTTTTACCCAACACGCAGCCATAGCAAGCCTCTTGGGAGTCAAGAGAGATGAGTTTGGTGTCCTTATGTTTCCCTAACACCAGAACTCCTACTCATATGGGCTAATGTCATTTGCACCTGTCCTGCAACCTAGGTTGTATGGTCTGTAGTGAAGAGACTGTTTTTGTTTTTCAGTAGGTGTATGTAGTACCCACTACTGTAGGGCTCCAGTACTGATGGAAATTCTGATGTGCTAGTGCAGAAAAAGTGATCTTTCAGTGCCTTTTATAGCAGGAATCTAGCTTTCCAATACAAACCCCTTTCTCATTACATGTTGATAGCTGTGGCACCAGGGTTGTGCATTGATTCAGTTTGTGTCATTTATCTTACAGTCCTGATATATGAGTGCGTCCCCTGGTTGGGTAGTCTGTACAGCTTTCTTAAACACTGATCTGTATTTCCATTCTAGAACGTCAGTGGAACATGTGGATCCCAGGTTTTGGTTCTGAAGAAATACGGCCGTACAAAAAAGCCTGCACTACAGAAGCTCACAAACAGGTGAGGAGTCCTTTGCTAATATATTAACCGCTCAATATCAGGGAAACAGTACAAGCAGAGTTTTCCTGAACTCTAGCCATTACACAAAGGAAATGGATTATGTGCCTTAGCTTTTCTCTCTAGTTTTGTGAGGTGGATTTGACTTAAGCTTTCTGAAAGACAAATCTGCTTTGGCTGAATGCCACATCTTTCTGTTGAAGGCAGTGCCCACTAAGATTGCTTTGTAAGCCAGAACCTTTAGTCAAGTGGTAATATTTTTGAGTCAGACACTTTTCTGAATTGCTTAGATTATTCTGGTGTAGCAGCAGAGACAGCGTTCTATCGTGACACTGGCATTGCACAGGAGGTAATGAGAAAATAGTGCTATCCTGTGTGGGTTCATTTAGATTTTGAACCAAAATATCTTTTTCCAAACAACTTCAACTAAATGGAAAGGCTGGTGAGGAATCCAGATAAGAATAGATTCTTCCCCAGGTGGTAGGGAGCTCTATCTAGAATGGAAACCTGAGGATTCTGGCTCTATCCTCACCCTATACTAGAGCTTTTCTTTTGTTCATCTCTAGTCTGAGATATTACAAACCTAGGAAAAATGGAATCCTAATGATATATACACAGCTTCTCTAGTCTTCTTAAAGACACTCTTCCCTGCAGTTTTGCTCCAAGGCTTCAACCCTTTAAGTCAAAGAGAATTACTATGGGCAGATCCTTGTTCATAACTGGCAACCACATTTCAGTATTTAGTTGTCTCAGACAAAAGACTGCTTGTCTGCAGTGCTGGATCACTATATGATGGATCTTATAGGTAGCAGTTTTTTGGGGTCTTACCTTGTCTCCAAGGATGACACTCAGCCCCCAAGCAGTTATGTGGTCAGGAAGAAAGCTCCCGTCTTTCAAAATACCTATAAAAAAGATATTCAGTTCAGGAACTGGATGTGACTGAGATGGGACCCTGCATGGTTCACTGGATGAAATGGTCTTATTATAGCCAAAAATTTCACATTTCAGAATTTTGTGTTTAAAATTCCATAGTGGCTGAAGATGTACCTATCTATAATTTCAGGAGTCGAGGGACACTTTGCATGTAGTGGTCAAGAGTGATCTTAAGGCCTGCTCTTTGTTAGTGCTGCTTTTATATTTGCAGCCCAGCACTGCATTAAAATATGAACTGGCACCCATGCAGCTGGTGTGAGCTAATGGCTGTAGCTATGGAGGTACAGAACAGCACTGCAAGTCATCCTGACTCACTGTAAGACAGCTGCAGAGATGTCCCATGAGAAACAAATAGTTGTGTGAGGAAGCAGCAAGTACCTGGTTGCCACTAACAGTAACTGTAAATCTTGGGAATGTAAGTTTGGGGCACCTTCAATAGCACTTATGACTTTCCTGGAATTTCAGTTGTTAAGTACTTGTACATCTCTGCTTTCTGCCTTGACTGAGCTATAATTTAAGTGAGTTGCTGCATTTTTTTTTAAGTCACACCCGTAAATGAAGTACTCTACATCTGTGAAACTGATACTGTTTGCCCTAGATGCTGCTTAGATAAATGCTGTGCTTGAAATGGGGTTGGGGATGGTAGAGAGGAGGGCCTTAAAGTGGATTTTGACTCTGTGCAGTATACAAGCAAGATATTGAAGTCATACTAGTGAGTGAAATTAGGAAGAATTGTTAGACCCAAAAAAGAGCTCAGAATAGGAGGTCTCCGAAGGAGAGAGCCACAGATTATGAAAAACATTTTTCTTTCTTTCTGGTTGTAGTTCAGGCCAGGGTTTAAATGGACTTAGGCACATGTAAATGTACATCAGGAGAAGTCATGATGGAACCCTTCTTACGAAGGGTATGGATCCAGATTTCCCATTTCCTATGGAAAAAACTGGGGAAAAAAATGTGAATTTTCCCTTTTGCCAGAGAAAATGCAGATTTTTCATTTTAACAGAGAAACAAGTGGATTTTGCTCTTTTGCAAAGAGCTCTCTGGAGGCTGGCAGAGTTCCAGCTGCAAGGGACTGGGGGAGCAGGGCGGAGGGTGGTCAGGCAGGGGTTGCCATGTTCACATGTACGCACTTGGCTACCAGGCAGCCTGGAGAGCAGTTCCAGCAGGTAAGTGGGGATGGCAGGGGGGAATTGAGGCCCATAGGGAGGGGGAGGGAGAGGGAGTTGGGCAGGGCTGGAGTGGGGCTGGGGCTGCTGCCCAGCCAGGCAGTGCATGGGGCTTAGGGCCTGGGCCTGCAATGCGCAGTGTGGGGTTGGGCCCCTCACTGCTCCAGGGCAGACATGGGGTATGTCACTAGAGCAGTGCAGGACTCTTGGTGGCCACAACAAGCTTCCCTGTCCGGGCCCACTCAGTGCTGCCGTGCCCATTGGATTGTGGAGGCCCCAGAGAGGGCAGCAGGGTGGGGAGCCTAAGCCTGCAGTGGGCAGCCCGCCCCATGCACAGATCTGGGGGGCAAGTGCTCCCCTGACTTCCCCGGAAGTGTGTGCAGCAACCGGTGCCCTAAGCCCTCAGCGGACAACCCACACCTGCCCCACCACCAGGAGTTCTCCAGCCATAGTGCCTGTAAGGGATGGGGAGCCAGGCTCCGCACTCTGCTACACTGCAGCAGCCGCCTACTTCCGTGGCCAGCAGCTGGGGCTCCGGCACAACTGTGGGTGGCAGGGGGTTGTTGACCCGGGTCCCTGGCCCTATAGTCCTAGCAGGGCTGGGGGTGGGGAGTGAGGGGCACCAGCAGGGCTGGGGGCCTTGGCCTGCATCCTGGTGAGCTAAGGGAGCAGGGGGAGCTCTAATTTTCTATGATAAAAAAATCCAAAATCAAATACCAAAATGTATAGGTCCTTAGAATTTATTTTACTACAGGTTTCCCTCGCTTTATGTGGGCTCTGTATGTGTGAATTTACTCTAATGCGATGACCCTTTTTATACCAAAAATTTGTTATATGCAAGGTAAATTCACTCTTCTGTGATTGGTGGGGTGGACACCTGCAGTCAGCTGCTTTATGCGGTGGATTGTGGTAGTGTCTCCTGTGTGGATTTGTGCTCCTCACTCGCTGTCTGTGACATGTGTTTCTTTAGTTACCATCCCCATTATGGCTTCTAAGCATCCTGCTAGCTTATCGCCTACCCCTCTCCCTGGTCCATCACCAGCCTCTCTTTACACCAACTAAACATTCCCCACCACCCTGTGTTTGTGTGTACTGTCTACTGTTGGAGAATGCCAAAATTGTCTTGTAAAAGTGGTAGAAATGGGTCTGGGGATCAGTACAGTCAAGGTCTTGGAACATATCCTGATTTGTTACATTGTAAAGTGGGTTCTCTTTTTGTGAATTCGAGCTAAAATGCGCCATTTTCCAGGAATGCATGGACGGCGTAAAGCAAGGGAAGCCTGTATAGTGATTGAAGCACTGGTAGGCTAGGCTTCCAGATTGCTTTAAAATTGTAAATGTATCAATAAAACATTGTTTAATTGATACCTATATGCATAGCGGCGTTTTAATTGCTGATTTGGGGGGTTTATCAGAAAATTTGCAATTTTTAAATTTAATTTAATTTATTTTTTTTAAGTAGGGAAAACCAGGAACCCTGTTTATGAGAGTATGCAAGCTTTAGTAGGGATTAGACTGCAATGATTTATGGCTTGGCCCATCTACAAGTTTAGACAGATCACATCACAAATGGATTTAGTCAGCAACAAGATTTGACTGTTTAAACAGGGTTCTCAAGCCGTACAAAGGCCAGTGCAGAAAAGCTTCTGTCTGGAGCTCTTGATCTGTTCCACATGCTTACCAGAGCTCACTTTCAGCAGATGGTATTATTGCATAAGTAACTTGGAGCAGACTTCTAGCCTGTTTCTTCTGTGTCATTCCTATATAGCACATTCCAGGCTTGATTGTAACTGCCCATGTCTCAGACTCTCAGTTCCCTGTATTTTCCCTTTCTTGTTTCAGAGGATGGCACTGATCCGCAAAACCACCAAGAAATAACCTCTAGGAATGGCAGGGAGATGACTGCGGTGCATTTTGGGATATCTGCCTCTAAGCTGAAGCCTCCATGACACCATCCATGGGATATTTTTTTTAATGCTTTACAGAGAAGCATATATTTTTATTAACAGTGCAGCAATATCTGACTTTATGAGGAGATCTGCCAAAAAACATTATATGCCCCCTTCCTCAGCCCCTCAAAAGAACGCAACATATCTTGAAACAAAGACTTTATCTGTGACTTTAAAGTGGTTTATCGTCTAAGTGATTATCTGAGGGACAGAGCATCTTGGTCTTGTTTGGGACAGTATTAGAAGCATCTCTAGAGGTTTTTGTTTCCTCTTTCGCTCCCTACCAGTTCCCAGTACTTTGTAATGTCAGTGTTTGTATAAATATTTGCATTTGTTTTACATGAATAAAGAAGAACCATGGCACAGTCTTGTGCTGTTCCCATTAAACAAATAGGGTATCTCCCAGCAGTTGGAGATGGACTGCTTGGTGTGTGAGACCTTGGGGTTTGTTTATTCAGGTTGTTAGTATTCAGGGTATGGAGACTGACTTCCCTCTGCTGGTTCCCTGTAGATCAGGCACTGTGCACCGTCTCGCCTGAATCAATTCCTTTGGTTTGCAGGCTTTTAATTGGGAACACTTCATCAGTACATGATTCACTTTAAACATCCTAGAGAAGAAACTGGAATTGTAGACTTGAGTTTTGCCCTGTTCACTTCAGAAAGCAGGTGAGAGGTTCTTCAAATTACAGATGCAGGAGGAGAAGGCTGTTGGTTCCTAAAATTGCCAGTCTTGAGTTCTGGATTGACAGGGCTGAAACTGCGTTGCCTGGTCCCCCCCACAAAAAAAACCTAACATGCACCTGATCCTAAGCGTAAGCCATCAAATTTCCAAACTGCTGCAGCACCTCAGTTGAAATTGCAACATCTCATCTGCTTTACACTAACGTAAATGTAAACAAAGCAAGTTGAGTATAATAAGGTTTATTTTTTAAGAATTCTGATTAAATTGATAAACTCGAACACCAAGTTGAGTCTTACGGGCTTGACAATACTAGGGACTGAACTCTTTGATAGACTAAGCAGTAATATAGGGTTTCTTCTGCTGTTTTCCTGGTATGTGATGTGGTCAGTCAAAATCAGGGATGTGATATACAGCTCTCTAAGTGTCTGTAGTTTATCTCTGTGCCCAGCTAATAACTATTTTCAGTTAAAACTTCATTTCATTTGGCAGTCGCCTGAAGAGCCAAACATTTTAGGAAACAAAAATAGTTACCAAAATAGATTAAATTCTGATTAGTATCCTGGAGGTGAAAGCTACCCTAGTCTTGGGCCATAGGGTATTTCGATATTGTCGAATGCCAAGAACAAAAGTCAAGAGGAGTGCTGTTGGCTCAGAACCAGATTGCCAAGTCTGATAATTAGGCCTGAAAGGGAAGCTGTTTTACTTAAATAAAAAGTGCCTCTTTACATATTCAAAACGTAGCCTGTTTTCTAAGCAGTATCCTTTCAAGCAGAGGGTAAGCCTAGCTGTAAGTAGGGCCTCAGGGGCTGGAAGTTTTCAGCCAGATGCTATGTAATCAGGTAGGGCATAATGGTAAAACAAGGTGATCTAGGTTTTAAAACTAGGAGTTGCATTAGTAGGAAGGGAGCTGCTGGTATGTCAAGTGCTGTTGACAAGGCTTTCTGTAGACTCTGGCTGAGCATATACACTTGGCAAATACTTTACAAGCAGAACAGCAGTTGGAACGTTTAGTGCACAGAAAAATGCAACATCCATAGAGCTTCTATCCCCAGGTGTTTAGGTTTTCCCCACCTCCTGATTCTACTATGCCTGTACATGCTGTCTGGGGATAATACTCTTGCCATATTCATTGGCATGGCTAGCATTAAATAATTCCTCCTCTATTAGGATAATAAAGCCAATGAGAAATATGAATAAAACATTTAATCAACATTCAAGTGTACATTTCTGCCTATTCCAGTGCCTACGCCATTTCATTGCTGTTTTGAATCTTTTCGAAGCACATAGGGTGTTGCAACACACTAAAGTCTTTGGATGTGAGTATGTAGCTGTCACCCTTTCCAATTCTGTTTGTTGCCCAAGTTATGAGGCATTACCCTGTAATGAAAGACTGCAGTAACTGTCATTACATATCATTCAATATTGTCTAGCTGCCGTGTCTTGTAAGAGGAGGTGGACACTGGTAGTGTATTCTGGCTTCTTGAGACTTGCAGTGTCTTACTAACATGTGCATTTCTTTTTCTGCTCTTGTTTTCCTGGTGTTTGTACTGTAGTCACTACTTTGGGCGATAGTCTGCTTTTTACTCCATCCCAGTCCTCATTTGGGCTCATTACCCCCGTTTTCAGTGCCTCATAGATTCCCATAGTCAGCATTTGGAAGGCAGCATCCACATTGCTGCTGTTCTTAGCAGATGTCTCGATGTACTTTGCCCCTAGTGAGGAAGCCAGCTTCTCACCCTCTTTCTTTCCAACCTTGCGCTCTGCTATCAGGTCACACTTGTGCCCAACCAGGACAAAAACGATGTGAAAAGGTTTCACAGTCTCTGTCACTTCCCGATGCCACTCACGGATGCTTTCAAAGGATGCTCTGTTGGTCAGGTCAAACATCAGCACTCCCCCAGCAGAGTTGCGGTAGTAGGAACGTGTCACAGATCTTGGGTACAAAGAGGGGTACACATGAGACTTGACATTCTCTATTTTATTACCTTCCTAAAGATCATCTTTGTGACATGGAAGCAGTGTGAAGTGCCTAAAAGAGTCAGAAGACAGCCTGCCTCCCCCAGAATTTCTGTTTAATTTTTTTCTGAAATATTGAAGCTAAAATTTTTCAATTCAAAATAGCATCTTGCTATCTCATGGCACCTGGAGTATAAGATACCTGGATTGCTATTCTTTATGGGCTGGGCTTTCTGATGATGTTATATTTCCCATGATGGACTATTTTTTTCCTGAGTGATGGTAAGGGGTGTTTCATTAAAAAAAAATCCTGCTGATTATGTATTATGGGAAATGTAGTCCAGCTTACAAGTGAAAATGAGAACAAAAATGATACTTCTCATACAACAGCACGTTGACATGTTGAACTGAAAATGTTTTGGTGTTTGCTACTGACTTTCTATGAGAAGCAGACACTCATGGGGGGGAAAATATCATTCATTTGAATACTCAATTTTCTACCAAAATGGTTTTGAAGGAATTTTTTTTTCAGCTCTTGGTCTTAGAAGTAGGGCCTTTCTAAGCTGTGTGTCCAGTCACTGAGCATTATTTTGATTTTCATTTCAGTCAGTTGTAACCAACACGTTTAACTTGTGTGTATAACGCTCCTTTTCTTTTCCCAACTCTAGTGTAGGTTTATATATCTCTTCTTCTGTCTGTCAGAACAGGTTAGGAAAATCCAGTCAGTTTTTCCATTCGGCCTCTGCCAGAGTGCTGCCAGGAGTTTGTGGGCAAGTCTCTTGGAATGAGAAAACCGACCCATCTGGCTATGGTTCTAGTGCCAGAGTTAGAATACAAGACAGTATGCTAAACCCACCATAGAAAGGCATTACACTGTTAGAGGATTAACTACATGGTATGTTTACAGCCAGTCATGACTGT